TTTTTTTTTTGACGGCTTCTCCCCTTGCAACAAACCCCTCCATGCGAATGTAACAAAGTATCCTTAAACCACCAGTACCCTTCCCAGCTATTTTTTTCAGAGGCGCCCCGGGTAACGCGCGATGGCCCGAAATGGAAGGGCAGCCGCCGATAAATTGAATCGGCAGCCGGTCTTGATTTTTGGGCTGGCGCGCAATGCCTGTGGCCGACATATGGGAAAGGTACTACGTAGTGGTTTAAAAGGCCCAGTACATACGAGCTTCTTTTCGCCATAGCGGATTCAGACTGCGTGCCAAGCGGCACACCCTTCTTTCCGGGGGAGGGGGGGGGGGGGGAGCTGGTGCCGCCAGCCATTCTGGTCCTGCAGTCCCAAGCCTCCAAACTTCACGTAAAGACTCGTTTTCGACTCTCAAGTTGCCTGAGGCACAAAAATCCATGCAAGTGAAGAAACAAAACATTCCTAAACAAATTATCCTTAAACAAATCCATGCAAGTGAAGAAACAAAACATCCCTAAACAAATCCATGCCAACGAAAACAAACAATCTACACAAATGCAAAAGATCGCCCTCTTCCTATCGTCTTCACCCAAATAGATCACCTGTGGCATACTGCGCAGCCACACGGGTCTGCAGCGCCCGACCAGCGTTCTCAGCCTAAAAGCCTGAAAACAAGGGCCTACAGGCCCTGTGTCGTTTTCAGCCTACAAGCCTGAAAACAAGGGCCTACAGGCCCTGTGTCGTTTTCAGCCTGAAAGCCTGAAAACGAGGGCCTACAAGCCCCATGTCGTTTCAGCCTAAAACAGGGCCTTCCAGGCCCTGAGGCTTTTCAGCCTGAAATGGAGGGCCATTTTCAGGCCCTCGTAAGATCGACCTGCCCTGAAACTTAGGCACCAGACCAGGGTTTTAGCACAGGCCATTTTTGGCCTGTTTTCAAGACAGCCCTTGTTTGAACTTCAACTCCAGGGTCTGGCACGTTTTGGCATTGGCAAGAGCAGCCTCCTGGACGGGCCAGCACTATATAAGACTGGTCCGCCCTATAGGCTGCAGTCAGTCACAAGGTAGTTCCAAGGAACTTCCCAGGCACTTCACGAGCAGGAGGCAGGAGGCAGTCTTCAGGATTCGGCAGCGGCACTCTGGAGGAGTGCTGCAGTAGTAGTAGTAGCGCTAGCAGTAGTCTTCAGTGCTGGGCGCTATTAGGAGCTATAGTAGTAGTGGAGAGAGAGAGATGGTTGGCGGAGGCCAGGGAGACTTACCTGTGGTGCCATAGCTCCAGCTTCGTCTCCG